TTAAGTCATTTATTTATTATTATGATTATTATTATCTTATTTTATTTTTGGCTTTATTAATTGTGTGGTCACATGAGAATTTAATGTGATATTTAATGTGGTTTCGTCGAGAGCGATGACTCCCCGCTGACTATCAAAGGCCAAGAACGACGTTGCTCCAAATCAGGCCATGGAAGTGGTCTTCCGTTTAAGCTCCTTATTTTCGGCCTTCAGTGCGCAAATCTCTATTCACGCATCCTTGTATATGAGCTGGAGCAAAGAGAGTTGGGTGTTGACCTGGTGGAGCTCACTCGTTCTGTTCTACAGTCGATGCGCTAATTTTGTGACTGCAGTCACCGTCTCTATACAGAACGTCAGTATGAAATGATTGGCTTTAATGTTTGATTGAGCTGCCATTATTTGTTCAATCGACATCATAGGTAGGTTGAGAAGAGTAAGAGCCGGGGCACTCGGCCCAGCAGAGTTTATGGGATCGTTCAGGTCTGAAAACAGAGTAAGGGGACGGGATGAGGAAGCCATGGATTAGGGATGGCAATCTGAACTCGACCCGACGGGGACTCGACCTCCCGACCCCGAATTCAGTGGTTATTCACCAAAACATATCCCCGACGGGCCGGGGATGGTATTCAAAATTTCATAGCTACTCTTCCGTCGCTGCTCTCTATGTTTAGGTATCTCTCTCTCTCTCCCTCTCTCTCTAGGGATTTCGATCTAGGGTTATATTATATATATATATATATATATGAGTGTATATATATTTTCTTCAACCTTTGTTTTTTTTTTCCTCTAAATTTATTTATTATGAATTTGAAGGATTATTTTTATAGATCTGTTTATTTTATAGATTTGTTCATTTTATAGATTTGTTCATTTTATAGATTTGTTCATTTTATAGATTTGTTCATTTTATAGATTTGTTCATTTTATAGATTTGTTCATTTTATAGATTTGTTCATTTTATAGATTTGTTCATTTTATAGATTTGTTCATTTTATAGATTTGTTCATTTTATAGATTTGTTCATTTTATAGATTTGTTCATTTTATAGATTTGTTCATTTTATATATTATTGAAACAAATCATTAATATATCTGTTGATAAATAATAGATCTATTATAGATCTGTTTATTTCATATATTATTGAAAATGATGATGTTGATAATGTTATTCTGTGTGTAGAAATTAGGGGCAGTTGGTTTGCTCCTAATTTGATGATGTTTTTAAAATAAGATGATGGTGTTGATGATGTTATTCTATTGATAAATAATAGATCTATTATATATTTTTTTCAACTTCTGGTGTGTTCTGAAGTCGAAATTATGTGAAGATATCTGTTTGTAGTTGAATCTTGTACATATCTGTTTTATTTTTTTTAATTGTGACCTGAGGCTGAATAAAATAGTTGTTCTTAACACAGTTTAGAAAAAAAATAGAGAAAGAAAATTGATGATTCCATTAGATGTATATATTGATGTTTCTCAGTTCCATTAATTGATATTGTGTGGAAGTTTGTTATGCTCCAACAGAGAAAGAATTAGTTATTGATGATTATTGAAATCACGGATATTTTTGGATTGGATATTTTGTTTATTTCCATATCCAATTGAACTAATTCTTGGACCATACCCAATTCGTAATAAAATGGGCTTTCTTCTCCATGAAAAATTATTAGATATTCCAAAAATATCATGTCCTACTTCAATTCCATTCATATTGGTATATACCCTTCAAAAGGTATGTATTAAACTCTTCACATGTGGAGTAACATAGCATACAACTAACTTTTCTTTCATTAGTCTTCCGCACTGTGAGCTTATTGGTACATGTCCCAGTTCAATTCCATTCATCTAAGAGAAAGAAACAGAGAAAGAAAAAAGAAAATTGATGTTTAGTTAATTTGTTTCTCAATTCCATTAATTCAATCCATAAGCTTAGTTATTATTAATTTGTTTCTCAGTCTCAGTAACCTACTTTTATGTTGCCTCTGTTAATATTAATTCAATCCATATTATTTTGATAAAGGTTAAAAATGTCAAATGTTAACTCTCAAGCACCAGTTAACTCTGAAGTACCCGTTAACTCTCAAGTACCATTTGAGAGTGACGCGTCACAACATTCATCGCCAGCTACAAACTCACCCACGAACTCACCGTCTCTCCTCTCTAATCAAATGTTATTGATTTAGAAGAAGAGTCTAATACTTGTGGAGGAACTAAAAGAAAACCTAGTGTTGTACGGGAACATTTTAAGAAATAACAAATCAATGGGTGTGGAAGGCAATATGTAATTATTGTAATAAGCATCTTGGAGGTGATTCAAAAAATGGAACTAGGCATTTGCATAATCACCATAAAAGTTCTATCTTATTCAGTTCAATTCGCATGTTATTAATACTTGTTTATGAATATCATATTTTAGGTTTATTTATATTTCATGTCCACACACAAAAGAAGTTTTTTGTGATACTTTGCTTGAGTGTATGATGGACTGGAATATTCATAGAAAAATCTCTACTGTTACTGTTGATAATTGCTCCACAAATGATGCCATGATTACTATGTTGATGGATAAGTTAAGTAATACATCGCTTTTGTTGGGTGGTACTTTGTTTCATATGCGTTGTTATGCGCATATTTTGAATTTGATAGTGAAAGATGGATTGGATGTCATACGAGTGGGTGGAGAAAATTCGAGAGAGTGTAGCTTATTGGACAGTAACACCAAAAAGACAAGAAAAATTTGAAGAAATAGTCAACCAATTGCGTATTCCACATACTAAGAAATTAGGACTTGATTGTGCAACTAAGTGGAATTCAACCTACTTGATGTTTCAGACAGCCTTATTGTATAAGGATGTCTTTTCTAGGTTGAAAATTAGAGAGCCCTAATATAAGACTGTGCCAAGTGAGCAAGAATGAGAGTTTGCTAGAGAGATTAGTGGGAGGTTTAAGATTTTTTTTTTTTATCACAGAGTTGTTTTGTGGTACAAAGTATCCCACAGCCAATGTTTGTTTCCCAGTTTTATGTGAGATTAGGATGACACTGGCTCAATGGCTCTCTTGTGAAATTGAAGTGATTAGAACAATGGCATCAAAAATGGTAGAAAAATTTGATAAATATTGGTTAGTGATACATGGTGTTATTGGAGTTGCAGTTGTACTTGATCCTAGGTATAAGATAAGTGTATTGGAGTTTTATTTTGAAAAACTTTATGGAGACAAAGCTGAAAATGAAGTTGATAGGGTTCGTCATATTTGTTATGATTTGTTGCAAGAGTATCAGCACTGAGTTGGTATGGAGACCGATGTTGTTGGTGACTCGTCTACTCATCCAGAAATTGTTATAGAGATCCTTTCAGAATTTGATTTGTTTATTAGTAGAAAGAGAAGTAAAAAAATGAAGAATGTAAGATCAGAGTTGGACCATTATCTAGAGGATGATATTTTGCCAAGAACTTCAGGTTTTGATATTTTGAATTGGTGGAAAGCTAATGGACCAAAGTATTCGACCTTACAAGCAATAGCTAGGGACATTTTAGCTATTCCTGTATCCACTGTTGTTTCTGAGTCAGCATTTAGTATTAGTGGAAGGTTGGTGAGTCCACATCGTAGTAGACTTCATCCAAACACATTAGAAGCATTAATGTGTGCAAAAAGTTGGTTGTGGGGTGTAGAGATAAAAGGTATTATTTCATCCAATCTACATATTATTATTTCACGTTTATTATTTATATTACCATGGAATAATTTCAACATTGAATTTATATTCTTTACTTTTTAGGAAATTCAACATTGGAATTGGTGGGCTATGCAACTATATATGATGATGATGAGATGGACTCGGATGAGTCATGTGCCACTTTTGTGTTAGTTGTCATCTTTTTTGTTTTAATTGTTAACATTTTTTACATTTTATTATTAGTATTAATTATTTGTTTTTTTTCTTTTGTTATTTAACAGGAATTCAAGTTGAAGGAGATGATGGAAGTTGTTGTGAGAAACAATGGATTTCATTTTTTATGTTGTAATGGATATATATATATATATATATATATTTTTTAATTTCAATTTTTTGGTAACCTATCCCTTGCAGATTGTGCTTGGGATTAATTATTCTCTTTGCTACTTGTTGAATTTTCTTGTGTGTGTGGGCAGCAAGGACATATGTTTTCTTGTTTGTGCTATTTTGTTGAACAAGATGCTATTCTCTCTGCTGGACAGATTTATTGAATATTTGACAGATGCTATTTTGTTTAGGAGATATTGACTTGAATAGGATGTTGCTGGACAGATTTATTGATTTGTATATATTGGCTAATATGTTGATGTTTATAGAATTTGTATATATTGATGTTGGACAAATATGTATATATTGATATAGGCAAATATGTTGATGTTGATTTGTATATATTGGCAAATATGCTGGACAGATTTATATTGAATTTATATGTTGATGTTTAGGAGATATTTATTGATGCTGCTGGACAAATATGTTTAAATTGGATGTTTATAGAATTTTTTAATTGGCAAATATGTTGACAAATATATTTCAACAGGATTAGGATGTTTACAAATTTTTACAAGTCAAAAAAAAAAAAAACCATTGGGGATTTTTTGGGTTGGGGATCCTCGATCCCCGATTGGGGGCTGGGATGGGGCCGGGCTATGGGTCCTCGTCGGGGATCGGGGGCGGAGACAGGACATATATCACCTTCGGGGATCGGGGATTGGGGACGGAGAGGGTAGTCTCCGGCTCCGTCCCGTCCTGCTGCCATTCCTACTAATTCCCACGCCCCTTCCCATTCTTGTGCGCTTTCTATTTAGCAGTAGTAACAATAGCATTCAAGTTCATTACTAGACTAGATAGAGAGAGCAGACTCTAGTTTTATCATACACTCTTAATTACCATATCGCCGTTGGAAACCAAAAAGAAGATGCTGATACTGAGGAGCTCTGATGGAGAGGAGTTTGCCACACAAGAAAACGTCGCTGTGAAGTCTACAACCATCAAGAACATGGTCGAAGATGGTTATGTTTTGAATGTTATTCCCGTGCCTAACGTAGACGCTAAGACGTTGGCGGTGGTAATTGAATACTGCAAGAAGCATGCAGAATCAGAGGCCGAGGAAGCAGCCAGAGATCTAAAAAAGTTTGACTCGGAGTTTTTGGACAGAGACCAAGAAGTTCTCTGTGATCTGATAATGACAGCGAACTTTCTGGATGTTAAGGAGTTGCTGGTAGCACTGTGCCAGACAGTAGCGGACATGATCAAAGGAAAGTCGCCTGACGAGATTCGCAAAATTTTCAACATCAAGAACGACTTCACCCCCGAGGAGGAAGAGAAAATTCGAAAGGAGAATTCATGGGCTTTCGAGTGATCCAGGATGATGATTTTAATCTTTTTTTTTAGGCTAGATATTTGCCAATTTTTTGTTTTTCATTTAAAAGGACATGCACTGATCGATCAACATAGTTTGTTTAGATTTTTTTTTTTTTGTTTTTTTTTTTTAAATCTTTGGATTTTGAATTAGGGTTGTTCTTTTTATATATTATGGGATTGCTTTTTTTTATTTATTTTTTATTTTTTTTTATTTTTAAAGCTTACTGAACTGTAAATTCTACTTGCCCCATATAGACAATAATATTTGAGTAGTGATTGAGAGGTCTAAACCAAGAGCTCTAACATGAGATTTTGTGATGCGGTAAAAAAAATAATGTTTGAGAGCTTTAATTTGAAAGTTCTAATGATGTGAAGAGTGGCCATGTGAAAGTAGGACCCACACTCCTCTTTTTATCTCTCTTTTCCACTTCACTAGAGTTTCATTTAGAGATCTAGTATTAGAGTTATGTATCATTACTAGAAAAAAAAAAAAAAATCAAAATATTACATCACTATGTGAGACCCACTATTAGAACTCTTAAATTAGAGCTCCTAAAGATTATTGATAATATTTTTATATTTATAAATAAGAAGGTGGGTTCTTTTTCTTTTTTTTTTGGGTTAATAATAAATGTTTGGATGGGAACGTGTATGCATGAAGATCCGAGGGTTCAAGAAAGAACTAGAAATTAATGCCATAGCTTAAAATTCACATGGAACACAATAATTTTTTTACTCATCATGAAATTAAACATAATTTTTTTACATAGACGTGAGACCGATTACTCTAAATTATAGAAGAATTCATAAATTCACATGATACACAATATTTTTTTTACTCGCATAGAAATCATAGAATTAAATATAATTTTTTTACATAGCCGTGAGACCAATCACTCTAAATTAAAAAAAATTTCAAAAATTCACATGATATATAATAATTTTTTTACTCGCATCGAAATCATAGAATTTTTTTTTTGATCGACGAAAGTTAATAGTTAGCTGTTAGATTAACATTTTGGAGGTGTTGAAACTCATACCCATGTATCTTCCAATAAAATCTTGCCCTCCTATTTTATTCCTAGGAGTGAAACTCAAGACCTCCCCTTAAGAGAGACTTGGCAGCCAAAGGGCTAGCCAGTTAGATTAAAGCCCCTTGGTTTAGAAATTATAGAATTAAACATAATTTTTTTACATAGGTGTGGGACAGATCACTCTAAATTTAAAAAAAAAAAAAAAATTCAATTTTTAGTACATTCCGGTCATTAGCGTAAAATATTTGAAAGAGCAAGGCCTTTGAAACAATGAACTTAGTAACAAACTTTTAAATAGTGTTTGAATTATTAATTTAAGTAAGAATTTATGAAAAAAATGAAATAAAGAAAGTGACATAAATATTTTCAAATTTAAGATCTAAATATAATTTTATAAGATCATCTGAAAAGCTGAATTTGAGCATTGAGGTTCGCTTTGCCTAGTCCCCTCCCTCACCCAAAAAAAGCATAATAAAGATATCAAGATCCACTCCTCACATGGCAAAGAAGGTGAAATTGACTAATTCCATCACAATAAGTTTAGCTATCATAAAAAAATTAAAAAAACAAAAAAAATTCAGAAACTTTTCGAAAGCTGTCCTTGTGGATCGGCCTGTCGTTACTATTCATTGAGAAAGCAAAAAAAAAAAAATTGGGAAAGTTAAGGTGATAATAGGTGAATTTATTGTTTGATAAGTCTTACGATAATTAATAGTATTTTTTGTTAAACACTAATTGTTAATTTTTAACAATAGTTTAAAATTTTTGTCATAAAAAAATATCACTAATTATAAATTTTAACAACAGTTTAAAAAAATCGTCACAAAAAAAGTCACTAATTTTCAACTTTTAGCAACAGTTTAAAAAATTCGTCACAGAAGAATGTCATTAATTATAAGTTTCAACGATAATTTATACAAACCATAACAAAAAAATTCACTAATTGTCAATTATTAGCGACATGCAAAAATCGTCACAAAAAATTATTTTTAGCGACGATTTTATTTAAAATTATTTTTAATAGGACTTGATTAGAATTAATTCAAATTATTAAGACCTATTGATAGTTTATCCAAACAAAAGAGTTGATTTTAAATGATCCTAACCTAAGTGGTTATGAAAAGGGTACTTAAATGTTAGGATGAAGTTGTAAGTTGAATTTATGAAGAGACATTTGCTTATGTTGTGATTTAAATACTAATATACTAATGCTATTTTTATCAAATGAATAAATAAATAAACAAAATAATTTTAATTGATTTAATCAAAATCCTAATTGATTTTCAAATAGGTTTTAGAGCAACTCCAACATTATTTTTTATTTTTCATTAGTTAAAGTACAAAAAATAAATATTTTTTATGGAAACTTTTTTGATAAGTCCTCTTTCTAAGAGTTTTATTCCATCCAACCAATATTCTTTTTGACTATTCTATTAGATCCTATTTGAGGTAAGAAAACCAAAACATCCCCAATCTCTCATGCCCCCTATTAATGTTGATTGTGATTATATTTTAATAGTTTCCATATATCAGGATGTTAACTGTCATTATATTCATATTAATTTGAAATGAATTTTTGTCATTGTGTTGTCAATTATATGATGTGAATATTCACATCATGTAATTGAAATGAATATTCACATCATTATATTCACATTAATTTAAAATGAATTTTTCTCATCGTGTTGTCAATTACATGATGTGAATATTCATATTAAAACATATGAATGTGAATGTGTTGGAAAAAAATGATTTTTTGGGACTTTAATTTAATATTAAAGTGTGGTGACTTTAATTAAATATTAAAGTGGGTCCTAACCATTTTTTGTGTTGGGTCCAAGTGAGCCAAAAATCATTGGGTTTTGAATAAGAAATTGCCAAGAAATTGCTTCATGATGTTAGATTCATGAATAGGATTTTAAAGAGTATTTAAATCTTTTTTCTTGACTAAAGGGTGTGAATCCTTTGGGCATCCATACTTTTCATTTTGTGGAAAGGGGTTATGAATGCTTGGTGTTTTAATGACTAGCCTTAAAGGCTGAAGGCTTTTCCTCTCTCCCCTATACATGTATAAATTGAGACCCTCCTGTCAAGTTTCAATATAGAAATTTTTGCTTCCATTTTACAAGTCAGTTTGCTTGATAGTTCCTATTGTGAGAGAGTGCTACCATTGTTTTGTTCGTTAAGCTAGACAGATAGTGCTTCTGCCGTAACTGGTTTTGACCGTCGTATCCTGGGAGACAGACGTCGGGTTTCCTCAAGCACTCGACCCGTGAGACGGCGAAATCTGTTTTAAGGAAACTGCTTCCGTGCAGGCTTCGG